AAGAAATATGTTCTTTTTCATCTTTAACTCCATAAAATTAACTTTGGGAAAGTGTTCTCCAGCAAAAAGAATCTATTAAATTCCGCATTAATGGCCGTAATACGAGCCATTACTGTGAATAACTGTGGGTGGATGAGTGCAGTGATGCAATGCTGTAAGCAAAGCCTACAGCCGCATACAGGCTTAAAATAACACTAAAATGTTTATGATCACATAAGTGTCTGCTAAGTGGTGCAATAGCACTGCTGCCTTGCAGCAGGAAGGTTCTGGGTTTGATTCACGGCCCAGGGTTTTTCGGCATGGAGTTTGCATTTTCTCCCTTAGCACGCGTGGGTTCTCTCCAGGTACTCCGGCTTCCTCCCACAGTCCAAAAACATGACTGTTAGGTTTATTGGCTTCTCTAAATTCTCCTTAGGTGTGAGTGTGTGTGTGAATGGTTGTTTGTCCTGTTTTTCTCTGTGTTGCCCTGCGATGGACAGGCGACCTGTCCAGGGTGTACCCCGCCTCTCACCCATTGACAGCTGGAGATAGGAACCAGCACCGCTCGTGACCACACTTGGGACTAAGCGTGTTGGAAAAAGGATGGATGGATCACATTAGTCTTCATCCTTTAATTGTCTTTAACAGAAATGTTTATTTTATAGAAGTTGATTTTGTTTAGAATGTGTTTCAGTATAACCTCTTAGTTATGTTATTAGCATAGCTCACTGCATTTTTTTACTGTGTAAAAAAAAAAGTCCATAAACCACACTCAGGTGACCTGAGGGACTGAATAGTTTATAGTTCCTCCATGTTCTCACAGCCTCCAGCAGCTTTGGGTTAAATGCAGCCTAACCACTGGAACAAAGAGCTGCTCGGAAGGTTTGCTAAACTTTTAGTGACTGTCTGCAGCGTCAGGAAGGAGGTCACATGATCTACAGGCATCTGTTTTTTAGCATTACATTTTAATCAATCCAAAAATAATTATCAGCCTTTTATTGGCTTCCGTCTCTATCACATGATGTTTTGTTCCTCTTTTCACAATTTCAGTCTTTAACCAAACCGGAAGTTTGTTTCTTGGTTGACCACTGTGGAGCAACTTCTCACAAGTTTTCATCTATGGGTGGCATAAGCTTTGACTTGAGATTTTTAAAGGCTGGGTTTTTTATCGTATTATCTTAAAATAATTGTTTAAAGTTTACTAAATAGTTGTTACATTAAACAAAACCAAAAAGAGCAGCAATCCTCAGAGATACCAGCTTAATTTATTATGTCATTTGTTCCGACCTGTTTCAGGAAGCTGATCTTCTTTATAGACATTGTTGTTTAGACAGTTTTCTTCGGTTCTCTGCTTTGCTTAAATAAACTCCAAGATTTATTTGTTTCACAGCTGAAGTTGATTTAAACTTTAAGAATTTATTAGTCTGATTCTGTTCTCTGGTGCTTGGTGAACATATTTAAAGTTTAAGTTTTACTGAATATGAAGGGGAATCTCCAGGATTATAATTTTCTGAAATAGTCAAAATGAGGAGCAGCTGATGTTCTAAACAAGTGTTTTGGATTTTTGGTATTTAAATCAAAATGTCCTTTTCTCCTTTAATGTGAATAGAACAACAGAGCAGCTGCTTCCTGTAGAACCTTTAAAAATAAGATGGCATTACTGTTAAAATGTTTGAATTTTCCTTATTTTAAATTGTGTAAAGCTTTAGTGGAGCATATCATTTATAGTATGATGGTTTGGAAAAAACAGGTGAAGATGTTCAGAGTTCCTGCAGCAACTTTACATTTAAACTGTAAAAATGTAAGTCAGTTTGACAATATTTTCTTTTCAAACATTCAACAACTTGGTTTACATTGTTTCTAATGTGAAATATAGTTTAGTATCACAGCTCTATTTCTGTAATAGAGAGGAACAGCTACTGTATCATAGAGGTGTGAGTCAGTGAATATAAATGTATCTTCATGCTGTGTTCTTGGCTGCAGCTCCAGGTGTGTGACCTGATGTAAAGTGAGCAGCATGGATCAGTGTGAGGACAGAGAGGACAGAGTCCCTCCATCTAATACCACTCTGGGTGGAGAACATGAGGACCAGAGCAAAGATCAGAGGTCAGATCACCATCTCTAACTGTCCATGACTTTTCTCCATGTCAGAGCTCAGTATGAACATCACCAAAGCATCTTTATTCACAGGAAAAAAAATGAACCAGAACCAGAACCTGGACCAGAACCCAGCTGCGTTTCCTTAAATAGCAACAGGTCAAAGGATCTCCCTATTGTTTTTAAATCAGACCAACCTTCATCAGCAAACAGGTGAGCTGTTTCTAAATGTTCCACTAATTAGTTTATCTAACTTCTTTCCAGCATATAAATGTGAACACAACTCTTTCTCTCACATGTCTGTGTTCACGTTGAAGCAGTGAGTGATTGAGGCTAAATAATGGAAATAATCAAAGGATTGTTTTATTGCGATAATATGAAATGATCTTGTTAGATGATATTGGAGCTAAACTCAGTTGTTCTTCCGTCAAGTTGAATCTGTTTGGATCACCTCATGTCACATTATTGAACCAGAGTTGGTGCTTCTGCAGAGGTTAGGGTGACTGCACATGTAGGCAAGTCATGATGGTGATTCAACTATTAGATGGAAACTAAATCACCCCAATTACATGTGATGGAAAACATGATCTCTCACTGCCATCTGTAGCCTAGTAAACTAGCCCTACCCGCCAGCGGCCAAAATAATTTTTGCCTGCGAGGGGTCTAGCCTCAATCCATGCCCCAGGCCGTAGAAACGGCGGGCCAATCACAATGCAGAGATGTGTTTTGAATATCTGCATGCAAAGTGGGCGGGGTCTTGAGGGTGGGATGACGAAGCTGCACGACGCTGGAGAAAGCAAAACAAGGAAGATGGCAACAACTTATTGAACAAAAGCATGCACTGCGGCAGCAGCAGCTTTCAATGGAGTGCTCCATTGAAAGTTAAAAGTTATTTTTTCTGTCACTTTTGTTCAATAAAAATATGTTTTAAGATCATTTGAAGCGAGAATATTATACTTTAAAGCGTCACTGTATGCTCCATTTACCGATTTAATGCGTAATTTAAAAAAACTATTTCCGAAGTTGAGAGGACCACGGCAACCAGCAGACCTCCGAATAAACTGTTGCTGGTGTTTCTAAGTGTCTGTAGTTCACCTGTTGGTCCAGCAGGGGTCAGGTTGATTTAAACTGAAGCCAGAATTCAGATGAACAATTTTACAGAAATAATCAGTGACATAATACGTTGTTCCGAGTTCAGATTTGGATTATTTTGTTCCACGATTTGTGCTTCTGATATCTTTTGCAGTTTAAATGTATATGTTCAGATAGCTTTTAAAAGGAAACATAAAAGTGGGAAAATAATCCTAGATAAGTGACCAAATTGAAACCCGACCCCTTCATTTGATCATATTTAACCAGAAGGTTTGAGTGGGACACTGTAAATAAATAGAAGTATTTACATTTTAAGGCAGATTTTTAATTATGATGAATATTTGAAGCAAGACCAAAATAATCTACATAGTGAAATATTTCAAATGTACTTTCTAAAATCCAGTTTTTGTCATGATTGGTTTAAGCGATCTGACTCACATGCAGAGAACCACTCAGAGAACAAGGGAAAAAAGTTAAACAGGTTTATTAAATGTAGATGAATAACAGAAGTTGGATCTGGAACTCAGTGAACTGGTGAACTGGAACTGGAAAGTCTGAAGGGGAGATCACAGTGATCAGTTCAGGGATCGTAGGAAATTTGACTCAGGCTTGAATATTACTGGAGAGAGACTCCCGTTTGAGGGGGCTCTTGTCAATCCTTGAATCCAACTTGTGGGGGTAATCCAGAGAACGGGGAACTCGTTGGAGGGTGGACAGATAGACAAGCGTTGGACTCAGAGGAGTAAAGGAGCGGACTGTCACTTGGATTTCCGAAGAGGACTTGAACAGATCATGTGGAGGTTTTCCCCTGCTCAGTGTGTTCTCAGTTAATCCTTCCAGGGGGAGAAGGTCAAGGTATCCAGTCACTCAGGAAGGCTTCCTGCCGAAGAGCAAAGACAAAAACTAGATAAGACTCAGAGAAACAAGCTTGGTTAGACTCAGCTAATCTCAGCTTGGCTAGAGTACCCAAAACAGTTTTCTTTTTAAGTAATTTTCTTTTGCTTGCATCAATAATTAGAATATTAAAGATGTTTTTTTTCTTCAAACATATTAATTAAAACTGTTTTTCATGTAATATAAATAAACCTCTTCTTGCAGCTACCTTCTTCCTAAACACCAAAATTATTTCTGTCTATGAATCCTTCTCATAGTTCTCTGCAGATGTTGGACATTGTTTATCATGAAGCAAACAGATTCATCCCGGGTTGTGAACATCAAACATTCCTTTGGACTTTGTTCTGTCTCATTATCTTGCCTTTATTGTTCTCACACAGGCTGCTGCTCTGGAATATTTTATGAACAAATCAATAATTGTCTTGATAATCATATAGTAGTTAATAATAGTCTCTGATCACAGACTAGGATTATATTTACTGCTCCTTCTGTAGGGTTAGTGTTAGGGATGGGAAAGGTAAGATTACATTTCTCCAACGAGCTACAACAAAGTGCTTCAAAATGAGAGTCATGAGTCTCACAGTGAGATTAATTTTGTTTAGATGGAATAAGAATAATCATGTATAAATATCCTGATAAACAAAATTAAAAAAAAAATACAACTGATTGGAAAAAGTTCTGTTGAACCATCTGCTTCATGTTCCTCTGTAGCCTATGTTCAGTTTGAAGTTCTCAACAAATGGAACAACTGAACCTTTTTTTGAGCCAAGTTTTAATATAGTTACCATGACAACTGAATCTCCTCAGGTAGGCGCTTCCTCTCTGGTGACAGGTTTCCCCATGTTTCGGTTTTAGAGCAGCACACTACAAGGACCTAGTTATTTGTCTGTTTGTTGTTCTACAGAATGTGAGTTAATCCTTCCTGGTTCTTCCACAGATTGGATCAGCAGAACTCAGAGGTTCCCAGTGGTCCATCTGCCCAGCAGCATCACACCCAGCTGGACTCCATATTCATGGTCTGTACATGTGCTAAAATACTTCTCCATGGGTCCTGTTCACAGTCATCTCCATGCTGCACTTTGTAGACCAGAGGACTGTCAATCTGTCCAACATGGATCTGGTGTTTGGGTCCATGATCTCAGTCTGATGGGTCCTTTATTTATTATTCTGTTCAGCTGCTGGAGGAAAACATTGTTAGTTTTGTGAAGAACGAGCTGAAGAAGATCCAGAAGGTTCTGAGTCAAGATGAACGAGAATGCTTAGAGAATCAGTGGGAGAATGAGGAGGTATTGGAAGTAGAGGATGAAGAGCAGAGGAACAGAGAGGCTTTGATGGAGATCACCCTGAACTACCTGAGGAGTATGAAGCAGGGGGAGCTGGCTGAACGTCTGCACATTAGTAAGAGGATTTCGATAAAGATTTAAACCGATGGATAAATTATGAATTTATTCCACTCATGAGACCAGAGAGAACAAATGATCTATTGATAGAAATTGTTTCAGTGCTAATTATACTGTTTCATATTTCAGAGCATTTTTCTTCAGTTGGTCAACGTAAACTTAAATCCAGTCTGAAGAAGAGGTTCCAGTCTGTGTTTGAGGGAATCGCTAAGGCAGGGAGTCCAACCCTTCTGAACCAGATCTACACAGAGCTTTACATCACAGAGGGAGGGACTGGGGGGATCAGAGATGGACATGAGGTTAGACAGATTGAAACAGCATCCAGGAAAACACACAGACCAGAAACAACAATCAGACAAGAAGACATCTTTAAAGTTTCCCCTGGAAGAGATCAACCAATCAGAACAGTGATGACAAAGGGAGTGGCTGGCATTGGGAAAACAGTCTTAACACAGAAGTTCACTCTGGACTGGGCTGAAGGCAAAGCCCACCAGAACATCCAGTTTATATTTCCATTCACCTTCAGAGAGCTCAATGTGCTGAAAGAGAAAAAGTGCAGCTTGGTTGAACTTGTTCATCACTTCTTTACTGAAACCAAAGAAATCTGCAGCTTTGATCACTTCCAGGTTCTGTTCATCTTTGATGGTCTGGATGAGAGTCGACTTCCTCTGGACTTCAAGAACAAGGAGATCCTGACTGATGTTACAGAGTCTACCTCAGTGGATGTTCTGCTGACAAACCTCATCAGGGGGAAACTGCTTCCCTCTGCTCTCCTCTGGATAACCACACGACCTGCAGCAGCCAGTCAGATCCCTCCTGAGTGTGTTGGCATGGTGACAGAGGTCAGAGGGTTCAATGACCCACAGAAGGAGGAGTACTTCAGGAAGAGATTCAGAGATGAGGAGCAGGCCAGCAGGATCATCTCCCACATCAATAGATCTAGAAGCATCCAGATAATGTGCCACGTTCCAGTCTTCTGCTGGATCACTGCTACGGTTCTGGAGGCTGTGTTGGAGACCAGAGAGGAAGGAGAGCTGCCCAGCACCCTGACTGAGATGTACATCCACTTCCTGGTGGTTCAGACCAAAGTGAAGAAGGTCAAGTATGGTGGAGGAGCTGAGACAGATCCTCACTGGAGTCCAGAGAGCAGGAAGATGATTAAGTCTCTGGGAAAACTGGCTTTTGATCAACTGCAGAAAGGAAACCTGATCTTCTATGAATCAGACCTGACAGAGTGTGGCATTGATATCACAGCAGCCTCAGTTTACTCAGGAGTGTTCACACAGATCTTTAAAGAGGAGAGAGGGCTGTACCAGAACCAGAACAAGGTGTTCTGCTTTGTCCATCTGAGTGTCCAGGAGTTTCTGGCTGCTCTTCATGTCCATCTGACATTCATCACTCATGGAATCAACCTGATGGAGGAACAACAAAGGATTTCTGTTTGGTCTAGATTATTTTATAACCCAAATCTAACATATCTTCATCAGAGTGCTGTGGACAAGGCCTTACAGAGTCCAAATGGACACCTGGACTTGTTCCTCCGCTTCCTCCTAGGTCTTTCTCTACAGACCAATCAGAGACTCCTACAAGGTCTGATGACAAAGACGGGGGGTAGCTCAATGAGCAATCAGAAGACAGTTCAGTACATCAAGGAGAAGATCAATGAGAATCTGTCTGCAGAGGAAAGCATCATCCTGTTTCACTGCCTGAATGAACTAAATGATCGTTCTCTGGTCCAGGAGATCCAACAGGCTCTGAGATCAGGAAGTCTCTCCACAGATAAACTGTCTCCTGCTCAGTGGTCAGCTCTGGCCTTCATCTTAGTGACATCAGGAGAAGATCTGGATGTGTTTGATCTGAAGAAATACTCTGCTTCAGAGGAGGCTCTTCTCAGGCTGCTGCCAGTGGTCAAAGCTTCAAACAAAGCATTGTAAGTACTCACAGAATTTGGGTTTGGACACCAAGTGCTAAGACAAGGAGATTGTGACTGTTATCCCACTTCAACTGTGTGATTTTCATTTATAAAAGAATATTTTAAATTAATACTAGTCGAGTTAGTTAACAGAAACATTTATCTTTGCACAATTTAATTTGTCTTATTAAAGGGGAACGTAATAACTTAAATTTGTGTTTCTTTTATTTTTTTAAATGATGAATTATGCTCATCCTCGCTAGACCTAGAAAGACAAATTGAGCCACACATACAAGCTTTTAAGTAAGAAATGTTGTGTCATCTTTATATTATATCTCAGCTTATTTCTGCAAATGTGCTGATGATCTGTCTTCTCAAATCCTGATAAAACAAAGAAATAACATAATATTAAAAGTGTTTTAAAAGTAAATAGAGAACCCCAACGTATTAATGAGCTGGACTTTCTCTCCTAAGAATATTCTGGGAGATCGCTTTGAGTGGGATGTCACGGGTAGAGAGCCAGACCTTCTGGCCTGAGCGATAGGAAGGGGCAACCCTCCTCTTGTGGTTGGCCTATCTTTGGTTCTGCTCGGAGGTCCTTCCCACAGCCGTCATGGCCCTGTTCCAGAAGGTCTGGCAGCGGTGGATGTGGTGTTGAACGGAGGCAACGGCGATGGCTGCCTCTTCGGATGGAAAAAGGGGTGGCTGGTATCCAATGGACGCCTCGAAAGGGGATAGACCTGTTGCAGAGGAGACACTTGAGTTGTGGGCGTATTCAACCCATGGAAGAAATTGACTCCAGTCTGAGGGATCTGTAGCTGTGAGGCATCTGAGGCTGCCTTCCAACTCTCGATTCATTTGATTCTGTTCACAACCAGAATCTCATTGACACTGAATCAAAGCTGATAATCAGACAGATCTCTTATTTAATAACAGAGATGCAGGAAGGAGTAGACGCGGTGAGGAGGGAGATATCTTCTGGTCTGCCAGTAGCCCTCTCTCTACTGGTGGACCCTGGCTTTTCCCAAAAGAGGACATGAGGCTACAAGGTGGCCTGCTTCTCCACAGTATAAAAAAAGCTTAGCCCGCATACGGTGCTGCTTTTGCTCAGGACTTAGTGGAACGCTGCCAATCTGCATAGGTTCAGGTGGGGAAGGGTTGATTGGATGCTCAGTGGAGGAACTGTTTGTTACCTGAAGCTTTGAAGGAGCTGTTTTACAACCTCTTTCCTTGTGCGGGCTCGAATCCGGTTATCCAAGCGGATAGAGAGATTAATTAGTTCTTGGAGAGACTCAGGTTCATTAAGGGTGGCTAGTTCGTCCTTGATAGAGTCGTTTAGAGCATTCGCAAAAACGCCCTTAAGGGCTGTTTTATTCCAGCCTGAAGCAGCCATAATGCGGAAATCAATCGTGAAATCAGAAACAGTTCTGTGTCCTTGTTTTAATCTCAGAAGCTCGAGAGAGATTAGCGTCTTGTCAGTGTCGTGGTTAAATGTTAACTTGAATTTTTTGATAAACTGATCCTAACATGCACCACTGTGCAAAAGGGGCCAAATTTCTATCTAGCACACTGCTTACTAAAACCTTTATGGAACAAACATGCTTCAACTTATTCAGTCCAAATTTGCTTGAGTTATAGTCAACCTGTGGATACAAACAACTGCATTTCCAATGTATAGTTTGGGAGCTGTACTTGCTTTAATTCATATATGTAATTTCAGGTGTAATCTGCTGCTAAGAGCCTCAGGGCTTAAGGGATTGAATAATAAAATATAGAGTCTGGAAGGTGACTGCAACTGTAGTGCTCATGGCAATTGGAGAACCTGGGGCAGTAACCTCCACATTTGAGAAGTGGCTCCAACAGATAATTGGAGAAACATCTGAGATCTTAGTCCAGAAATGCTCAGATCTAGGGACAGCTAAGATACTGAGAAGAACCCTCAAGCTCCCTGGATTCTGGTAGAGGACACAGCCTGGATATGAAAGAAACCACCCAGATCAATTTTTATGTAACCAGGTGAAAAATGGGTACATGTCAAAGATATATTTTGTAAACCATGTTTTGTTTTTGTTTCACTGACTGGTTGTAATTCTTGTTCTTGTCAGCATGTGGTGCTGTTGGTACAGAGAGGTCTAAAGTTACCAGAAGTTGAAAAAAACTCTTGTTCATGTACCGTGGTACTCTAACTGGAAAGAAACGGAAGAGAAAGACATTTTTTTCTTTTTTTGAGCTAAGACTTGTTGGAGAAGACGACTCTATGGCCATATGAGTGAAGAATCCAAGTATTAGAGGTGCCACTGCCGTTTGTTATATGCAGCTGTGATGTTTTTGGCTTGTATGCGAAGCTACGTTGTTACTTTGAGTGTTAATATCGTTATTAGCCCGCCATTTCACTAGAGCTAAGGCTTTCTGTTGATAGAATACGGTTCACTTTTTTTCAAATACTGAACCTCATTTATTTATTTTTTTTTTAAATAAAGAACCCCTGTTATTTGAAGCTCTGTGTGCTGTGTTACTCCCGGCTTCAAATATTGGTACCAGGAGTGGGGACATATTTTTTTTCTTTTTTTTTATATTAGTCTCTCTCTCTCTGTGAGAGCCTGTGTATGGTGGCGCAGCTTTAGCATAAATGGCTGTGGTGAAGAACTGGCCTAAACCAGAGTGGACCTCGGTATCCTGTCTGTGTAACGGCATTTGTTTCAAGATCAGAGGAGGACGTTGCTGGACAGTCTGTGCTGGCGTGGTTGTGAGGGACTTCAGCCAAGGTGATCGTCAGCCCAGGACGCATTCCAGGAGGGGGAGAGCATCACCCAGCAGCGGTCTTGGAGCAGTCCAGTGGAATCAGGACTTGACTAAGTTATCCTTTGCTATTTAAATTTCTATTGACTGTTCAGTGAAAAAAAATAAAATAAAAAATCAGAACATGTCAGACCAAGACGAGAACTTTGAGATGCATGAAGAACAGGTAGTAGTGAATAATAATGAGGGTAATGAACAGGATGGTGGACAGAACAATGGACAAAATGACATTGAACAAGCTGGGGTGTTACAACAATTAAGTGAGTTAGCCAGAAGACAAGACGAGGTCATGACCGTCATATCATCACTAAATACTGAGCCTACCAGATCTTATGTCTATGTACCCAGAGAACGGCACATTTCACCGTTTAGGGGAGACATTGAAAAAGATGGGAGGAGTGTAGATGAGTTTATTGAAGAAGTAGAAAGGGTTATTTCTGCTAGAAATCAGTCTGCAGCTGAACAGTTCGATTTTGTGCTGTCACTTTTAAGAGGCTCAGCTCTGGAGGAGGTGCGTTTACGCAAAGTTGATGGTGATGTTGTAAAGGACCTGTTTGTTTACCTAAAAGATGCGTTTGGAGATAAACGTAGTGCTTCCCAACTTTTACAAAACTTCTACAACTGTAAACAGAAAGAGGGTGAAGGCATACGTGACTTTTCACATTCATTATCTCAGGCCTTTAGTTTTGTACGGAAACTGCATCCTAATTCCGTGACTAATGAGAACACTGTGTTGAGAGACCAGTTCATTGAAGGCATCAGAGACCTTTCCCTGAGGCGAGAACTCCGAAAATATATAAGAGGAAAACCTGCGTCTACTTTTATAGAGGTGCTGGAGGAAGCTTACTTGTGGTCCTTAAACCAAGCCCCTACCACAAAAATGGTTAGGAGTAAAGTGCAGACCTGCAGTAATGTTACAGTAGGAGCACAGTGCTGTGCAGTTAAAGAGACAGGAAATCCAATGTATCTGGAGGATGTGATGAAAACTCTTAAAGAGCAAGACAAAGTCACTAATCTAACTAGACCTAAAGAGAAGTTGGTTTCAATTGATGATGTTCTTAAAGTCCTCACTGAGCAAGGCAAAGCGATAACAGAGCTTACTAAAGCTGTCAAAGAGTTGACAGTACAGGGCAAAAGCCCTAGTAGCCAGACGCCATATAAGATCAAAACTGTTCCAGCATTTACCCCTGATGGTAAGCCTATATGCTTCAAGTGCCAAACTGCTGGTCATGTTGCCAAACAATGTCCCCAGAAAAGACACAAAAACTCTGATGAGTCCCCTGATTCCGGTCAGTCGGGAAACGAGAGACCCTGGTTGCAGTGAGTCGGGTAATGCAGGGTCATGTCATAGACTCATCTACGCACGAGATCACACGAGAACAAATAATTGAGCGTGCCATAGGAAAATGCCCAGTGGTTGATCTAAAACTTAATGGGAGGTCAGCTCATTGTTTACTGGACACTGGCAGCCAAGTCAGTACTATGACAGATGAGTTCTTCAGAAAATATATTGGTGATGATGAGAGCATGCTAGCTACAACTAGTTGGCTTAAAATAACTGCTGCAAATGGACTTGACATCCCTTACCAGGGATATATTGAACTGGAAGTTGAGACGATGAGTTTAAAGATCCCAAATTGTGGCTTCTTGGTCCTGAAGCCTTCAGCAAATGCTTTTGTGTCTGAAGAATGCTTAATTGGTATGAATGTCATTCACAGATGCAGACAGCTGGTGACAACAGAGTTTGACAATACTTTGGGTGGATCCTTAGACTCTGGGTGGAGGATGGCTTTTCAACAGGCACAGATCTGTTGCAGTGAGAGAAAGGCGATTGTTCGGGCTGCAGGCAGAAACAAAGTACGTATCCCTGCATCCTCGGTATCCACTGTGTTCGTAAAAGGTGACACTAAAACCTCAGATGCAGCCTCTCAGTTGATCATTGAACCGATGACTACTCCTCTACCACCCGGATTAGCAGTTATCCCAACACTTGTCACGAGGACCAGTCATGTTCTTCCGCTCCAGGTGGTTAATTTCTCCGCCGAGGAAGTTTGGTTGGGCCCCAGAACACGGCTAGGCGTGATCTCAAAGGTTGATCCTGTTAAGAATGAGCAGACGTGCCAAGTAAAGTTTCACCGCATCTCTGCCGATGTTGAACAGGTTTCAGTTGACTCTAACACAGTGCATACTGACAGAAAGGTGCAAGCCATTTTGGAAAGACTTGACATGGGGGCACGGAGGAAGAGCGTGTTGCTCTCTGTGCATTGCTGTCCCGTTACATTGATGTTTTTGCAGATGATGATGAGAATCTGGGTCACACAGACAAAGTGAAACATGAGATCAAGCTGGTGGATGACATACCTGTCACACAGCCATATCGACGTATACCTCCTAACCAATACCAGGAAGTCCAAGAACACATTTCTAAACTTTTGAAAAAAGGAATAATACAGGAAAGTGAAAGCGCTTATGCCTCACCAGTCGTGGTAGTCCGCAAAGGTGATGGCAGTATTCGCTTATGTGTAGACTATCGAAAGCTAAATCTAAAAACTAAGAAAGACGCATTTCCATTGCCTCGTATTGATGAGAGTTTTGATGCGTTGAAAGGTGCCAAATTCTTTTCCACAATTGACCTTGCCAGTGGGTATCACCAAGTGGCCATGGATGATCGAGACCGACATAAGACTGCTTTCACCACACCTTTTGGGCTGTTTGAGTTTGTACGCATGCCCATGGGGGTGTGTAATGGGCCTGCAACATTTCAAAGGTTGATGCAAGCAACTATGAGCGATCTGATATTTGACATCATGTTAGTCTATCTGGATGACATATTGGTATACTCACCCAGCTTTGAGTCTCATTTGGAAAGGCTAGACCTAGTTTTTAAACGTTTAAGAGACACAGGGTTAAAAGTGAAGTGGGAAAAATGTCACTTTTTACAGAAGGAAGTAAAATTCCTCGGACACCAAATTTCTGCAGAGGGCATCGCAACTGATCCCTCCAAGGTTGCAGCAGTCAAGGAATGGCCTGTGCCTGGCACTGTTAAGGAACTCCAATCATTTCTAGGCCTATGTAGCTACTACAGAAGGTATGTTGAGGGTTTTTCAAAGATCGCAGCCCCACTACATGACCTTGTGAATCATTGTCGAGGAGCTGCTACTACAACCAAAGCTAGTCAAAAACTAAATGCATTATGGGATGCCAACAGCCAGATTGCCTTTGACACATTGAAAGAAAAGCTTGTGACTGCTCCTATCCTAGGTTATGCAGATTTCACTTGTCCTTTTGTTTTGGAAACTGATGCTAGTGGTCAGGGTTTAGGAGCTGTCTTATATCAGCAGCAAGGTGACAAAAAACGGGTCATTGCATATGCAAGTAGACGGCTGAGAAATGCAGAGCGCAATGATAAAAACTATAGCAGCATGAAACTTGAGCTGCTTGCGCTTAAATGGGCTATAGTGGAAAAGTTTCGGGGTTACCTTCTGGGCTCTAAATTCACTGTAATATCAGACAATAATCCCTTATGCCATCTGAAAAGTGCGAAACTTGGGGCTATTGAACAGAGATGGGTAGCACAGTTAGCTGCTTTCGACTTTGACGTGCAGTACCGACCAGGTCGGTGTAACACAGCCGCAGATGCATTGTCACGACACCCATTAGCAGGGGAGCCAGAACCAACGGAGGACGAGGAGTTTGATGATTGCATTGCAATTTGCAATTTGATCTGTAGAGGCACTGCCCTTCAGCCGGAGCTGGTTACAGCTGGGGTCAAATGTTGTCAGCTAAACCAGATCAGGGCTGCAGAAACTGGTAAGGTCGAGTCAGATGCTAAAGAGGCCACGCCAACTCTTCCCGGTTATTCCAAGGAAGAGCTGAGGACATTTCAATGTCAAGATCCAGTGATTAGTGTTTTAAAACTGTTTTTGGATCGAGGCAGACCACCCGGTTCACAAGAAAAGAAAAACCTTCCTGTTGCTGCCAAATCATTGTGGAAACAATGGAAACACATTAGGATACGTGATGGATTGATGTACAGAGTAGTGAGGGATGATCATGTTGGAGAGTGCTTTCAGTTGCTCGTTCCAGGTTGTTTACAAACAGCTGTAATGAAGAGTGTTCATGACTCTATGGGACATCAGGGAATAGAGAGGACATTACAGTTGTTGAGACAGAGAGCATTCTGGGTCGGGATGCACAAAGATGTTGAGCGATGGGTCAAGAATTGCGAACGTTGTATTCTCACAAAGATGCCCAATCCAAGGATTCACCCTCCAATGAAATCATTTTTGGCAACACGACCTTTAGAAGTTGTGGCAGTAGATTTCACGCTCCTTGAACCAGCCTCCGACGGCCGTGAAAACGTTCTAGTCATTACCGATATCTTTACAAAGTTCACTCAGGCGTTTCCTACACGTGACCAAAAAGCAGAGACCACAGCTAAAATCCTCTTAAAGGAGTGGTTTATGAAGTACGGTGTACCTGAACGTCTCCACTCAGATCAGGGCCGTAACTTTGAATCAGAGGTTATTGCTGAACTTTGCAGAATGTATGGTGTGAAAAAAACACGTACAACACCCCATCATCCGACAGGGAATGCACAGTGTGAGCGTTTTAACCGCACCCTGCATGAACTGTTGCGCACACTTCCACCTGACAAAAAGAAGCGTTGGCCTGAACATTTACCTGAGCTGGTTTATGCGTATAATGTTACTCCACACGCGACTACAGGATATTCCCCTTACTTCTTGCTCTATGGGGTAGAGCCACATCTTCCTGTTGATGCATTGCTTGCAAACGAAAGTCATCATGATAAAAATCTTGATTGGCTTGCTGTGCATCAGCAAAGACTCAAGGAGGCACATGCTAAAGCAAAAGAGTATACTGAGCGGAAAGCAGAAAGACGCATTGCTCAGCATAACCACAAAGTGTACTGTCCTTCAATTGATGTTGGAGAGTATGTTTATCTGAGACACAGACCAGCTGGTCGTAACAAAATTCAGGATGCATGGAGCCCAGTTGTATACCAACTTATAGACATAGTAGGCACAACTTGCACAGTACAACCTATAGAGGGAGGACCTACAAAAAAGGTTAACAGGACTGACATCAGGTCATGTGTTAATCTGCCCGTCACAAACCAAAGACCCAGTGAAAACACAGTAACCAAACAGACAAGCACTACTGACCCACACACTGACTCATGTATTGAGAATGATGGGGGCATAGTCATTGAAGAGGTTTCTTTTGACTTAACTCCCTGTTCAGGTGGAGAAAATTGTCCTATGGGTGACAGTATTCAGAAACGAGCAGAAACTCAGTTGATTTCAGCACTTGAACCTCCTGTGATTGAACAGGTGGAAACTGAGATTGTTGACAATGAAACATGTAATCCTGACAAACCGTGTGAGATACCAGTATCTCCTCTTTACATTAGGCAAGTTCCCAGACCTGCCCCCCGCAGGAGTAAAAGAGTGAATGCAGGGAAACACCCAAACCCACATCATGAACCTAGGTCTGCTTTAGAGCCAGAACTAAATCCTTAGATGGTTTTACAGATTATTGAAAGCTTAGGATTTGTGTTTTTCAGAGGAGCTTTAACAGAGGTGAAAAACGGTTGCTTTGTCACCGAGGACGATGACGATTTAGCAGGGGAGAATGTAACCAGGTGAAAAATGGGTACATGTCAAAGATCTATTCTGTAAACCATGTTTTGTTTTTGTTTCACTGACTGGTTGTAATTCTTGTTCTTGTCAGCATGTGGTGCTGTTGGTACAGAGAGGTCTAAAGTTACCAGAAGTAGAAAAAAACTCTTGTTCATGTACCGTGGTACTCTAACTGGAAAGAAACGGAGGAGAAAGACATTTTTTCTTTTTTTGAGCTAAGACTTGTTGGAGAAGACGACTCTATGGCCATATGAGTGAAGAATCCAAGTATTAGGTAAATTAATGTTTGAACTGAGATATCTTCCGTGGATAAAACTACAGATATGATGCTTATGTTATGTTTTTCTGTTTGTCCTCTTCTAGAGGTGCCACTGCCGTTTGTTATATGCAGCTGTGAAGTTTTTGGCTTGTATGCGAAGCTACGTTGTTACTTTGAGTGTTATTAGCGTTATTAGCCCGCCATTTCACTAGAGCTCAGGCTTTCTGTTGATAAAATACGGTTCACTTTTTTCAAATACTGAACCTCATTCATTTATTTTTTTTTTAAATAAAGAACCCCTGTTATTTGAAGCTCTGTGTGCTGTATTACTCCCGGCTTCATTTATATAAGTATTTAATGACATATTGAAGTGGGAAGATGGGGTATTAAGCAGTCCTTTTATCATTTATTTGAATAATAGAAGTATTGCCTTTAGTTTGTTCCTTGGTCTGCTGAATCACAATAACCACTTACTTTGCAGGGCTTCCGTAAATCTAAAGAGCATCCCTGTAAATTTTGATGCAGCTGCAAAAACTGTTTTTATACCCTGGTAATGTCATATCATTACATAAAATAAACATTTGTGTTTCATCTGTTATGTTTAATATTAAATTTTTTGTTTCATTAAATCGTAATTCTTAATTTCTCTATCTGTCTCTTCAGACTGAATGACTGTAACCTCTCAGAAAGAAGCTGTGAAGTTCTGGCCTCAGTTCTCAGCTCCCAGTCCTCTAATCTGAGAGAGATGGACATGAGCAACAACAAGCTGCAGGATTCTGGAGTGAAGCTGCTGTTTTCTGGACTGAAGAGTCCAAACTGCAAACTGGAAAATCTCAGGTCTGAACATCCGTCCAAGTTACATTTGAGGCCTTGTTTTATAACGTTGACTTTTTATGTGATAAACTTCAGAGAATTGCAACATAAAAAAAAAAAAAAATCAAAACTCTTAATCTGAAAATTATTAATGTTTTTATTAGTTAAACATTATGGAATATATAATCTTGGTCACATTTATCCCATCAGTCTCTCTAATGTTCACACTTTGTCTCATCAATACAAAGACTGATAAATATTTTGAGTTTAGTGTGTTGTCCAACGAAATAAGATGTCTACTGAGAAAGCTGGAATAGAACCCAAAACCTTCAAATTGCAAGACTGATAGTCCACCAACCTAGCTACAGCCATCCAATAAAAGTATTACAGGCTTGGAGGTACAGTATGTCTGTAAATCGAATGAATACAGTCATATTTTCTTCCTGAAGACATGCAGGATGTTTCTGTTTTGAACTAAGTGAGCAACGCAATGTCTGTGGAACAACTTTAAAAAAGACAAACCTAACCAAAACAGAAAGGAATCCCAGCTGCCAAGTTGATTCAATTCAGTTTTTTTATATAGTACCAATTCACAACACGTCATGTTAAGGCATTTTAGAGAGACACTTCAACCAGATACAGTCAAATTGATTCAAAGTTTTCTATCTAAGGAAAACCAGTTGATTGCATCAACTTGTTGACTTGGATGCAACACTAAGTATGCGTGTAGCGACAGTGGAGAGGAAAAACTCCCTTTTAACAGGAAGAAACCTACAGCAGAACCAGGCTCAGAGTGAGCGACCATCTGCTGAGGCCGGAGGATGTTAACATTCTATTATAGATTTATCAGGAAGCCAATGAAGAAAAGCTAGGATAGGCTAGATATTACCTCCCTTTTTAATTTTCATCAGATCTCTGTTGGCAGTATTTTGGATCAGCTCAAAGCTTTTAACTACAGTTTCTGGACTTCCTGATAGTAAAGAATTACAATAGTCCAGCCTTGAAGTAACAAATGCATGGACTAGTTTCTCAGCATCACCCCTAAACAGGTTATTTCTAATTTCTGCAATATTCTGCAGATGAAAGAAGAAAATTCTATAAACCTCTTTTTATGAGATTTAAATGGCACCCCACAGCGACATTCACCTCCCCTCTTCGTCACAGAACATGTTGAAAAACATGGTTGCAGTGAGGCCTTTGTGTAAACTTGATCCCAAAGATTGCCTTGTTGTACAAAGTTGTCCCAGCCAGATGAACCATTTGTGAGCAAATTCATTTATTTCACGATGCACGACATCAGGAATAACAATGACTCCAGCAGAGCGGTCAAAAACTTGTTTGTGCTTCCAGATTCAACACCTGTCAACTACCTGTCACCTCTTGGTTTATATACTGGAGCCGACAGCCCCATCTAGTGACCAAGAAAAGAAAGAAAAAAGAAGCAAAAATACACATAGTTGGCTCCAATAGCGTCCTTGGACATAGCTTGTTGCAGATTCTATAAGGCAGACATAGCTCCAGTAATATGAGTTTCATTAGCATCAGAAATATATATACAGCAGGAGGTTTTAATCATCAGACATACACCGCAGTTAACATGTCCACAACCATTTGTTTTGCAGTACCGTGAAATGCATTTCACTTAATTGTTTGTTTTGTTCTTAATTTGTTTTTCCCAAATATTTTTATTAAATTTTAACACACACTGAAGGATAGTACCACAGCACACTACATATAAACAAATCCAAACATACACCAAATTAAGATTACAACAATATAACAGAAAAAACAAAACTATAAATAATAACAAGAAAAAAGAACAAAACATAAATAAATGAAAACTAATTAAGTTAATAAATACATAAAATGCTTCTCAGCTGGTATCAGTACCGCTTACACTTGACATCCCACCTCCACCCTTTTCCAGAAAGGATAAGAATCGGTACCCATGGTAAGCGGTACATTCCTTGCATCTGTGTAGAAAGCATAACAGTAAATGCTTCGAATGAACTTCAATCTGTGTACATTTTTTGTGTAGCCAGGATTGTTATTTCCTGTTTCAAAAACTGTTCTGCAAACTTCTCATCTGGGGTTAAACACACACTCTTAGTGGTGTATAGATCAGCTAACAGATTTTAAATGCTTTTAGTCCTACATTATCTTTAATACAGGTTTTACAGGCTCCTGAATGGCATAAAAGAGTAACTGGCTGTCCATTACCGTATTTTTACGACTATAAGGCGCATACAAACGTCTTTTTTCCCTCAAAATGTGCGGCGCGCCCTGTGTGTTGTTACTGCGGACGTTGTTGAGATCACCATGAGAACGTTAAAGGGGGAAGTGTGGGCGTGGCTTGGGTATAAAAGAACAGGTATGTGCTTTATGCAGACCTCCTCATCTCCTCATTGAGGAGATGATGAAAGAGTGGCTGAGGGAGGTGAATATAAGGAGACCAGGTGTTTTTTTCCACGCATCAACATCGCTGTTAATCTGTGCCCATCTCAAAGCCGATGTGAAAAACATGGTGAAACAAAAGAACGCTGTGCTGCTGTTATTCCGGGAGGTCTGACAAAGGAACTTCAACCGCTCGACATTGGTGTGAACCGGCCGTTAATGCTGCTGATACACCGGACGCAGCAGGTGCAGCAGAAGCAGCGAGTTTACAAGCAAAGTCAATGGTTGAAGCGCGTCAAGGCGCAGCAAAAGGTCCCGCAGCTCGTTTTGAGCAGCAGGCGCGGCGCGTCTGAAACGTTTAAGCATCTGACGCGCGTGATGCGCCGCAAACGCAGTGCTGCTCAAGACGGAAAAATTTAAGTTTTGCTGCTTGATGTGCCGCATCAACCAATTAGAGACGCTGATCTGGAAGCTGACAGTGAGACAGACATCGCTGATGAGTGCTGTGATCGCTCCTCTGAAACAGTTTATTAACGCCTTAATTAACTTCAAATGCTGAAACCTGCTGACAGAATATGTTCGCTTTTATTATCCTGGTGCCTGCAGTTTGGATTATTTTGATGAAAAACACCTACCAGCCGTCGCGGTGAACCGCGAGGAGGTGACCCGGCCAGAGGCTGCTGTTGAATTAAGTTTTCAGGTGGATTTTCCCACTTAAAAACACATTAAAACTACTTTATTCCCACTGATCACAGCAAATATAGCTGCAGGGCAGAGAAAGGATAGAGTAGCTCCGCCCAACGCGCGTCAGACACACTTTTGCACCGCGCAGCCAGAGCAGCAAAGCTGCTTCAGCCGCGCGTCAGAACTAACTGGTACAATCTAAACTGCAGGCACCAGGATAATAAAAGTGAACATATTCTGCTGGCAGATTTCTGCATTTTAAGTTAATTTATAAACTGTTTGTAATGTAATGTTGTTAATGTAATAAGCTGTTTCAGAGGAGCGATCACAGCGCTCTGTGTCATCAGCGATGTGTCTGTCTCACGGCCAGCTCCCATTAATACTTGTAATAAAATAAACAATAAAAATGTAATAAATACATGAATAAAACACAAACATACTCAGTTTTGCTCCCGCTCTATTTTCAAATATGCAGTAGAGGTATTTAAACGAAGTAGAGGACATGTACCTGTATATAAAACCTGCGCCCTATAGTCCGGTGCACCTTATATGTGTATTAAATACAGAAATGGCACACATAACTGAGACTGTGCCTTTTAGTACGATGCGCCTTATGGCCGTAAAAATACGGTAATTGTGAGTACTATGTATGTTTTTTTCCTTTTAATGCATTTAATAGCTCCTATGCTCCACACACATCTACTGTTTTTAATGGTTCTTGATCCCCATTTGCTTTAGCACCTAGTCATGCCTCAGATGAAGAACCACCCCTGCGGCCTCCTCCCTTTAGATAAGATGGTTGTATCTAATTGGGTCACTCCCAAAACCAATGGTCGGGTGACCCGCAATTCCAGCATCCCTCATCTGTTTTTACTGGTCTGGGCTGAAAATCCCCTAGGACCGCCCCTGCCTCCTCCACGCCTTTGAGTTAAGTTAAGAAAATATTTCTTCTGAGTCGCATAAAGAATCGGCTGAGAATATCTGAGCCTCCGCTGCTGATGCACCACTTCACTTTTAAAAAAAAATTTTACGGCATGGCGAGCATATTCCAATACTGTGCTTACAATAGACGTTGCCAGAGTGATTAAATGTTTTTTAACCAATGCAGAGATGTGTGGCTTGAAACCTCCCATTAACATATATTTTAGTTTGCCATCAGCGTAGGGTATGCCGCTGTGGAACTGTATTCTTTTTCAAAACCTATTTTGAACTCATTGACGTCTTCTCCTATTTTTTGTTTTATGACCCCTAAATATCCATAATATGCCCTCTTGTGGTAAACTACACTCTGTGTCTGCCACAGCAGTCCACTGCTGTCTCTGTTCTTCTCGCATTTGCGTTTGATGTTCAAATATTATGCCTCGTGGGGTTCTGCCAGTATAGTTTGCCCTTATTTTTCCCCAATGTTTCCCCACTAACACGTTTCGAAAACCAATGTCCATTTAAACCATATGAGTTAGAAGTTCCCCCCATGGCATGCATTCATACTTCTGGATCTTACTGCGGAGAAGTTAAACCTTCCGAAGCCTTTCTAGCTTCCTCTAATTGCCACGGACAGAAAACTACGATTGTTGATGGCTGCTGATATCCGACATTGATTTGCGAACTGCACCTTTAGGCTTGTCTGTAGATAACGGAAGATTTGATTCACTCAGTTCACCCAAGTCCAGACATGGATTTGAAATTTGCCTGGGAGGGATTATATGGCGGTGGTCTTTCTTTTTCAGTCGTTACATTGGCTCGTGTGACTGAAGTAGTCCTCTGGTGGGTTCTTTTCTTTTGTTTCAAGCCTATTATTGTTGGAGGCACTGGGAGTCAACTCTGCGGTCACTGCTTGAAAGTCGCTGCAAACTTTAATTGCTTTTGCAAGGGACTGTAACCTCTTGTCTACTTTTGTTAGGAGCTTTAATCACCCGTCTACGTTTGAGGGGGACTATAATGCCGTCTTAACACTAGAGTGACCAGACGTCCTCTTTTTCCCGGACATGTCCTACTTTTCTCTCCCAAAAAATTGTCCAAAAATTTCAATATCGTCCGGAATTTTGGTCAACTACAGTGCAGCAGAACTGAGCGGTGAAGTTGGTTCAAAGTTGGATATTGGATATTCAAGCTCTGCAGAGTCAGCGGGATCTAGCAAGCGGTTGACCCAACTGAGGCCCTCCGATGTCGGCCAGCGTCTCGCAGCTGCTCCCTCCTCCCACACAAGATGGTGCATTTAGAGACCATCAACAAATCTTTGAACCAAGCACTCTTGAGAAACAAAAATCGGAAATTCCTTATCTTATAACCAGCTAATAAGAAACTAATATAAAATCATACCATATGTAGGGCATACTTGCTTTTATGCAATTTTAAGCTATTTTCAATTTTTAACATATTCTTAAAGACAAAAGCTGGGACTTTTCTTCAATAACTTCCAGGTCATATGACCAACTAAATCAAATTCTTTGTAAAATTGTTTTACTCCATTATTAAAGGCACGTGAATTTTTGTTCCATTTTAAGCCTTTGTATATTTTCTAAACATTTTCTATTACAAAAATAATTGATATTCTTCAATAGCTTCCAGGCCATGTGACCCACTGACTTCAAATGTATGTCAAATGTTTCTACTAAATTTGGCCAGATGGGGCACGCTTATTTTTATTCCATTTCAAGCCTTTGTATATTAGGAGGCTATTACAGTCAGTTGACCTCTTGTTATTACATTTATTGACAGTTTCTATAATTTCCTTTTCTCTCACAGCAGTGAGAAACATTGAATGTGGATTTCTGCTGATTAAAGCTTATTTCAGAGCTCCAGTTTTTGTAGGATACAGGATTTATTCTGCCAGTTTGGGACCCACACTCACAAATGTACTCAAAATGTCCTGAGTTTTTCTAGATACAATGATTCGATAACTTCCAAATCCCTTTGATTTTTTTCTTATTTCTATCTAATTACTGCATAGAAATCAGTTAATTTATTCTTACATTTCTCATATTTATTCTCTACCTCCAAAGATCTATGCCTTATGAAATCTCTGTATAGTTTGTTCTTTTTTTGCAGGGATTTTGTAAACCCTTTTTGATCCATGGAGCTTCTGACTATTTGTTTTTATGAGAGAAGATTATTAATGGAAAGTTTTTATCATAAAATACTTTAAAGATATTCAGAAAATTATCATGTGGTATACCGACATTATCTTCTTGCAAAAAGACTCCGAGTTATGTTTTAATAAATCCTCTTTGAAAGATTTGAGTTATTCAAAGCAACTATTTTGGTGCTTATTCTTTTAAGCTGTGGATTATCCTTACTTCATACATAGAAATTGTCACCGACAACCAATACTGGAAGATGATCACTAATATGCTTACATATTAATCCATTTAAGATGTTGTTATCTAAGTTATTAGTAAATATATTACTTATTAATGTGGTACTGTTAAGTGTGTTTTTGCTAGGTCTTGTGATTTTGGGAAAAAAGCTCAAACTGTACATGGTATTAATGAACTCTTCAGTAGGTTTATGATTATTTGAGTTAAGTAGATCAATTTTAAAGTCACCAAACATGAAGAACACCTTCTGAGAAGTAACTGTGTATACTTATTTCCATATTGGAACCAAAAGCTCTGTATATACACCTAACAATTTTTTTTTTTTTACTTTTTCATAAATATTTAAACTGTTAAAGTCTCAAATGCATCTTTAGTCACTCTACTCGTGTTTTCTACAGTTTTATACTTTAAGTTTTTGCCAACATACACAGCTACTCCTACCCAAGTTTTCCCCTCTCTAATGATGTAATTGAACCCTTCATTTCAAAATCAGCTCCTTTCTCATGAGTGATCCATGTTTCAGAGTTGGCTACGATGCTGAATGGCTTTTTAAACTGGTTCGGACAGTCTTGTATGTTGTTGAAACTTGCAAGTAAATTTCTGCTGTTGAAATGTGTGATAGAAAAGTTATCAACTTCCTGTTGAATTGATCAGTTGTGTTGTAGCAGCAGTTATCAAAAATGTCATAGAAGTGTCTAATCTGAATCCACATTTTCTTCTTCCATGTCCTTGCTTTTATAATCCATGTAGCTACATGTTTTCAGTTCCAGTTTATCTGCACTAATAGTTGTAGATGTTAGTGTTCTGTCGATAGATAGATAGATAGATAGATAGATAGATAGATAGACAGAAACAAACACACAGGACATTGATGTGAACAGCAAATGTTTTCCAGATGATGACATCACTGTTTGCTTATCATGTTTTAGTCTGTGTTTACATCCATATTGCGTAATTTCATTAGAACTGACTTTATTTCTTCTCTAATCCCAGACTTGGTGGCTGTAAACTTTCTGAGGCTGAATGTGAAGTTGTGGCCTCAGCTCTGAAGTCCAACCTTCATCTGACTGACGTAGAAATAGAGACAATCTATGGGGGTGGAGTTCTCAAATCCTTTGGAGACTCTGGAATGAAGCATCTTTGTGAGATACTGGAGAGTTCAATCTGCAAAGTGAAGAAACTGCAGTGAGTTTTCTCTGTTTATTCAAACCAAATCATTCACTGATACTTTTGTACTGATTTTAACTCATAATTTATGCTGATATACTTTCTTTAAAAACAGCTGCTGTCGAAATGTCAGAATACAATTTCTCAGACTTTTTGTTTTGTTAATGAATAATTTTCCTCTTCAGGATGTTTTATATATTTGACTTTATTTTCTAGTTGTTCAAACATTGTTCAAATGTTTTGGACTGATGGACAAAAATGAGGAATATCAGTAAAATGATGTTAAGTAATGGAGATTTTTCAGTTTGATTTGGGAAAGATTCAGATGATGAGACAAGATGTATTTCTCAGTTGTGATTTACATCTTTACATCCAGAATTACATTTGATTCCTCTAGAGTAGAACTAGAACCACAAACATGTTAAAAAAAAAACTAGAATAGAATAAGATGATCTAAAAACTCACTTGGAGCCACAAATACTTAAAAAGCTGCTTAAGTTCAGCATCTATTTCTGACTTATTTACTTCAGTATTTATTTTTCAGAATTCTTTTTCCTTCCTACGTTTGAACCCAAATATCAGGACTTTCTACTCCTTCCTTTCTCCAAACTGGCTCATTTCTTCTCTCCATATTGATAGATATGACGTAAGAGCTGCAACAAAACAGAAGAATCAGGAAGAGAATCTGTCCAATTGGAGCCCAGTTAGTTTGTAGAAATTACTGATAGAGACATGGATGAAGACAGGAGGCTGGAGACATTGATGGATCAGATTGTGAGACACAGACATTCCCCGTCCATTCCCCCTTTATTAGGGAGGAAATGTCCATGTTGATTCTGTTTGCAGCTTTAACGGTGTGAATAGCAGAGCTCTAAAAGGATTCAGCTGCTGATAAAGGATTTCTGTTCACTTCAATCTATACCATCCTGTCTGAATATTAAAATCTAGAACCAAATTAGACCCAGTCAGTGTTTTTATGTTCTCTCTACCAGCACGGTGAGAAAAGGAGCTAAATTAACCTGGTTTTTTGGCAGAGATGGCAGATGGGCATGCATGGAGTCACAGATTAACAGCAATGGTGATGAGTGGAAAAAAACCACCTGGTCTCCTTACATTCACCTCCCTCAGCCACTCTTTCATCACCTCCTCAATGAGGTGGTCTCAAAAGTCCGCAGTAATAACACACATAGGGCACACCGCACCAAAGGGCGCGGCGCACATTTGGAGGGGAAAGAAAGACGTTTATATGCGCCATATAGTCGTGAAAATACGGTAGTAAAACTCAACTAAACTAAACTAACTACTATGTACAAAGAGGAAGGGGAAAACGGTTGAAAAACATATTACAGTTTAAGATGGATTCTGTGTTTGAAACCAAAGTTTATCTGGAAGAATTTGGGATATGATCAAATTTTCACTAATTTTAAAGAAATTGGAATGTTTTCAGACCAATTCACAATGCAAATCCATGAGGTGAATAAAACATTATTTGGCCAAATAATGTTTTGTGGATGATTTGCTTAATCAAGAACCAACAACCTTTAGTTAAATGATTCTTTACCCTCTTTGAAATAGCTAGCAGCGAATAGACATCAGGATTCTACTAAATGACTCTTGGTCATACTTGCTAATGGAAATGTAATGAGTATCTGAGGAACACATGAACACTAATGTTATATCAGTGTTTAAACCCTTAGTGAAATAAAGCTTGTCCAAGCTTCAGCAACAGCTCAACACATATTCCTGTAGCATAGCGTAGCGTGCAGTCTATTTTTTAGCATCAATTAGCGTTGTCTTTACTGAGCAGTAAACACACGATATGATTAGCATCATCAAAAGACATATTGCTTGTTCTGTCCCTAATCATGCCAGACCTGCAAACCTTTTTCCATGTCCGTTTGGAAAGCTTGAGTTTCATCCATTTGCAGCTCTGCAGTCAGGGACTCATTGTCTCAGTCTCACATCAGGGGTCCCCTCAGTCTCACACCCAGGGCATGGTTCTCATCCAGTTTGGCTCTGTAAGTTCTGAAACTCAAGAGAAATGTGTTGCAAAAGTTCTGTTTGCAGCAGTTCAGTTCTGAAAAGTTCTGACTTATCCTTGATGGTTCTGGGGATCTGGTTCCCCTGGGGCCCGATCTCCACTGTGGGCCACAGTGGGCCCCAGCTTTGAGCGCAGGGGCAGAAGGGACCAGGAGAGAGGTGCTGGAGCAGAAAAGCAAAAGAGCCAGAATCCTGTGTGCTCTGTGGTTTTCTCTGTCCTCACAGGGAAGGGGTAGGTTTTCACACCTCTGCTGGTTTCCATGTGACTGTTTGTGACTGCTTAGGCTCAAAAAGTGGGGGCTGCTGAAGTCCCCCAGCTGTTATTCACCAAAGCTGTGTTTTCTCCTCTGGTCATCCTATCAGGATGAAATATGGACACTGCTTCCCACTGTCCAAAAAGTATGATCATGGCATATGGCACAACAACTATACTCAGTGACCTTGGCCAAAGAGAGAATATGTTCAGTGATTCTGTACGATTGGGCCAGCACAGTGTCAGTGAGGAAAATAACCAATGGTCCTTGGATTAGTGTTCATCACGTGCCTTGGTCACATATTCTGCTCAAATGTTTCAATGGAAAGTTTTCATCTGCATCCTGTAGAATTCAGCTACAATCTTTTATTCTTATTCAGATTGTGGGACTGCAGATTGTCAGCGACCAGTTGGGCTTGTCTTGTCTCAGCTCTGAAGTCTAATCCAATCCATCTGACAGAACTCTGCCTGAGATGGACAAACCTGGACCCTGGAATGAAGGAGCTCAGTGGGTTTCTCCAGTCTCCCCTCTGCAAACTACGGACATTGAGGTCAGATGTAGTATATTTTTTTATTCTAATATTATTACAGTGCAAATCTCAGTGTTAAGGTAAATCAGTGAGCTACTAAAGGATAAGTAGGCTGTTTTTTAGAGGATGCTGCATGTACACATGTCCAAAAACTGGTAGAGAAGTGAAAAAGGGACAATTATCAGCAAAGGTGTTAAATCAGAGTTTGTTTTTTTATGCATATAAATCAACATATGCAGGTAGATTTTTTAAGTCGTGATTAAGTGGTGTGATACTGTGATGATGATTTTGGCAAAGTGCTGACTCAGTATCAGGTTTTGAGAAAAAAATTATTTAAAATGAATATTAACCTACACAGAAAAATATCATAGGCTGTCAATCACAATAGCTGAAAAAGTTGAGTTGAACATGTCAAAGAAAAATTTTGTTTTAAATTACTTCCTTGTTGTCTTCAGTATCTCAGTAGTGCAGCTTGTCTCTGTTCCCCTTTTAATGATTATAACATTTTATCTATAAGAACCTTCAAATCATTCTATGGATGAACATGGTACTGAATAAGATGATAAAAAGATAGATAACAGCTAATTTAGAACTTGCATTGACTTGGATAAACATAAAAGTCAGAACTGAATGAAAGGATGAGGTTGTTTTTGGCCTTGTACGTTCATAGGATTGATTTCTACTTAATGAGACAGGGAGCCAGTGGAGTTAATGAACAGCTGACAGGTAGATGATGGAACGATTCAGCCATTTTGGGCCCCAGATGAACTTTAATCAGGGGCCCTCCTCTAAGTCAGTGATTCTCAACCTTTTTTAATTACGACCCAGAATTTAACACTAGAACTCTCAATGCCATCATTTTGACAGTTCTGAGATTTTAAGCACCTTGTGCTCCATTGCTGCACACAAAAAAACACTCATATGATGTTTGTCATAAATGTGAAGAGGTTGTCAGGGGGAAATGTGCGGGGGTAATCAATTTTTGTAAATAGAATTGTAATTTCAAACTTTTAACCTGTGTGGTAAAACAGTCCTATTTATTTTACTGATTTATTTTGAATACAAATTAAGACCACAAATAATAATAGCATACAATACAGCCTTTACAAATATATATATATTAGACCTGATGTAAGGACTACATATCCACAATGAGTTTATATCACACACTAGAACCATTTCAGTGGATGACAATGTCACTACTCATGCGTTCCATTGTGAAAAATGTCACCCGTCAAACTGATAGCCAGTGGGAGTTCTATTAGGATCAGAATTTTGGGAGAATTTTTCTCATTTTAGTCAAAGAAAAGAGCTTTTCCTGCCGAACCTCCCCTGGCCTCAGTTTTGTTCCCGTGGTTTCTAGCGACTCCTGTGGGCTTTATCTCCATCTCAGTATGGTAGCAGCTGCGTATCGGTGTTATACTATATTCAGTGACCCTGGCCAAAGAGAGAATGTGTTCAGTGATCCTGTATGATTGGACCAGCACAATATCAGTGAGGAAAATAACCAATGACCCTTGGAAGAGTGTTTGTCACATGTTGGGATCACAAATTCTGGGGGAATGTTGTAATGGAAAGTTTAAATCTGCATCCTCTCTAATTCAGCTAAAATGTTTTATTCTTTATTCAGGTTGATTCACTGCAGTTTGTCAGAGATCAGTTGGGCGTCTCTGGTCTCAGCTCTGAAGTCTAATCCATCCCATCTGACAGAACTGAACCTGAGCTTCAACAACCTAGACCCTGGAATGAAGGAGCTCAGTGGGTTTCTCCAGTCTCCCCTCTGCAAACTACAGACACTGAGGTCAGATGTAGTATATCTGTTTATTCTAATAACATTGCAGTGCAAATCTCAGTGCTAAGGTAAATCAGTGAACTAGTAAAGGATCAATAGGCTGGTGATTAGAAGAGCAGGTTACGACTCTAAGAAGGAGGACAGACATGTTTAGAAAATAAAGGCCTCAGTTTGTCTGAAACTCCTCAACAAATGAAATGACTGTTTGTCTGGGTTTGGGTTCTGCTGGAGTCCTGTTTGAGTATCTGCTCTAGGGCCCGTCTGGTGTGTGATTTTTCCTTCTCTGCTGAAGTCAGCAGGTCTTTATTGGAGCAGCAGCATGTTGGCATTAATATCAATGAGAGCTCTTTAACTGCTTCTGTTGGACTGTTCTATCCTGCATCCTGTTGGATCAGCTCACATCTTTTTTTTTTTATCCAGATTGTTTAACTGTGGTTTGTCAAAGATCAGCTGTGCTTCTCTGGTCTCAGCTCTAAATTCAAACCCCTCACATCTGGAACACCTGGACCTGAGGGGCAACAACCTGAAGGAGTCAGATGTTCAGCAGTTGCAGGATCTTGTAAAGAGTCAAGACCACAAACTGAAGACTCTGTAAGTAGATGGAGTGAGTCTAGCTGCTCCACAGCTGCTCTGAACAGGACTGAAGTCCCTGCTGCTCTTTATCCTGGATGTGCTGCATCACTGACTGAAAGCTAATGCAGATAGACGTGGGAAACACTCATTTATCTCCTCTGTTCATCCTTCTTGTCTCTGCAGGGAGTGGAGATGATGATCTTAGTAGAGGAGAGAAGCTGATCTGTGTCCTGATGATTCACAGAGGTTGGAGCTGCAGCGGTTTGAGTTTAAAGAGACCCTGACTGGATCCTGATGATGAGCTCTGAATTTTAAGATTTTCTTCTCTTTATTTATGTCATGATCTGGCCTGCTTGCTCATGCATAATTGGATATTTCTTTCACCTGCCGTTTTCCCTCCCTGCCTCAATTATAATTTATTCCTCTCACCTGTTGCTTTTGGTTTATATTCTGTTCAGCATTAGCATTCAGTCCAGATTATTATCCGTTTTCAGTTAGGTCCATCTGTCCCAGTTTTATGACAATTTGTTCCTGTCTTTCATTTATTGTCTGATATTGTTGGAACAATGAAGATTCAATTTAAACTCAGCTCAATTTCCTGGCTCCATGGAGGTTTGATCTGAATCTGATCAAACTGTACAGTTGGGCAGGGTGACCAGTTTAGCTGTGAGTCTGTTCAGGACTATTGTGTTAAAGACAGCTGTAATCCACTAACAGCATCCAGACATAGCTCTGCTGGTGCTCCAGGAGGTTCAGTGCAGAGTGGAAAGCTACAATATGGCATCCTCAGTGGATCTGTTCACCTGCTATGGGAACCGGTGGGGGTCCAGATCTGGAGGGAGATAGTCCTCGATGTGCTGAAGAGCCAGTCTCTCAAAGCACTTCATGATTAGCAGAGTGAGGGCCACCAGGCAGTAATCTTTCAGGCTGCTGATGGGAGACATTTTCAGCAGCGGGATTATTGTGGATGTTTTCTAGCAGGATGGGATGACTGCCTGGACCAGGCAGAGGTTTGAGATACTGCTGATCAAATCATGTCTATGTATGAGGATGTCATTGGTATTTTTTAGAAATAATAATCTACATTATTTGATTGTAGATTTGTGGAGAAATACCAAGTCACACTACTTCATAATGCCAGTCCAGGATATGAATATGTGTAATTTTCATTCATTTATTTAACTTATTAATTGGTATAATTATTTCAATCTGAAAAACTCACACGGAAAGAAAAGACAATTAGAAGAATCGTGTTGGTACTATTACTTTAGAGAATTTGCTTGATAGGCATAAAGAGGAGTAAAGAACAGGACTGTTTACCCCAGGTTTCTGCTGGACCTTGAGATGAGACAGGGAACTCTGTAAGTATCCGGGAGATTGACACTGATAAAGCTTTAGCTACGATGGTGAAGAAGGGGATGGAAGTGGATTGAATCGGGGTCATCTGAATCAAAGTCTGACATAGCGCGACCATTGCCTGTGCTTTGGGTAACAAACTGAGAATTTGATTTGGAGACCTTTTAAGATAAACTATAGAAGGTGATTGGCCCATGACCAAGGTGAATAGTAATCATTGCTTCAGTTGAACTTCTGCCTAGGATCCATATTATCAATTAACATTCCTTTACCGACCCAGGCTGAATGACACCATACTTGAGATGCTTCATCATGGTGTGGGTCCCACATCCCACTGAGAGAACAGTAAGTAATGGTCACAAAGGTTTGGTTTATAAATAGTAGAAATTAGTTAATTTGCTTCAAAGAGATCACCCCAAACATTTGAAACATTGGAACATTTGTGTTTTAATTTGTCATTATTTCATTTCATGGTTCATTATGTATTGTTGTTCTATATATTAAAAAGCAGACATGCCCTGCTCCAAATTCAGAGTTGCAGGATGATTTCAGTGTAATACCAATTTACCAATACCAAAAATTTTGTGTATTTTCCAGACTGACCTACTGCAACTAGGGGCCCAGTCAGGTATTTTTGGGCCCCATGAATAGAAATCTTGAAGGGCTCCTCCATGGCCCTCACCACATGGTTCAGCTTAGAGCCCTCTGTAAAATTTTGAAACCGGTTTACATAAAATGATGCATTTTAATGAGATTTTACAAAGGAACTTACATATGTTTATGAGAGCACTTTCATATTTAAGTTACATTTTTGACATGCTGCAATACTACTTGGGCTTTTGGATTGTTACAACTGTTAATACTTATTGAAATAAAAGTGTTTCACTTATGAATATGTTGAAAAATATTAAGACTTTTAAATGTAGTTTTTGTGCTTGTTAATGTGTATTTTTTGATAAAAAGGATCATACAACAGAAAATGTCATCCTTCTTCCATAATGTGTAGAACAGAAAAAAATGCCTTTCTCTATCCAGTCTTTGTATAAAAATGATTTTTGTTTAATAAAGATGCATCTGTTGTTCCACATAGGGACAATATATGATGCAAAGCTATGATTATAAAAAGTTTCCAATACTCCACAACCTGTTTATGAAAATCTGATCATTTGATCGGTAGTTTAAAGTTTTCAACATCACATCGCATCAGGAATTCAACCTGTGGGATGAAATATTTGAGTGTGCCTTTTCTCAGCCTAAATAGTTGTGGTCATAAAGAAATCTTGTACCAGTCTCTATGCTGGAATGTTATGCAGGGAGTTAAAGTAGAGATAACAGAGTGCAGTTGCCTCCTCACTCTAGACAAGGGTGAAATATAGATAACATCCCCTTTAAGGTGCTTAAGACTCCCTCATTCCGTGAACAGAAGACAGCTGTTGTGAAATGTTTATATGGCTAGTAACAACCCAGTCTCATGGGAAAATGTACCCCCACTACGTTGGTCCACACTGCAAAACGTAGTGGAGGTACATTAATGGCCATTTTTTTGTGGTACTGTTACGTTTCTTCTGCCTATACGCTTTCTATTGTTTTACGTCCTAGTCACGTGACTTTCAAGATTCCAGCTGGGAGAAGAAAAAAATATATATAGATGGTCGACATTCGCTCATTTTTTTGTGGAAAGATTAATAACTTGAGTTTGTTTTTGCATTAAAATGAGTTTTGATTACATTTCTAGTGAGAAATGTATAGTTTGTTGCCAGAATATTTACTCAGGGAATGTACATATTCACTTGCTTGTTCGTTTCTTGCAAAGATTTTTCAAGATAATGTGAAACTGAAACGTTTTGGTATAAACATGGCTGAGATTTCTCTAACTTTTAGTGGGAAAATCAATAATTTCAATCAGTTTCTGCATTTAAATGGGTTTTGATTACATTTATAGCGAGAAGTGTAGGGTTTATTTACATAATATTTACTTAGTGAACATACATAATCACCCGCTTGCTAGTTTTTGCTACGGGTTTTCGGATCTCGTCAGGATTATGTGAAATTGCAACGTTTTGGCACCTTCACAAAGCAAATGTCACTGACTAAACAGATTTGAAAAGAAATTTGGTCAAACTAGATTAAACAGGAGATGGATCCTACATGCTAAAATATCAAAATCAAACATTGAAATAATAAAAAAAAATTACCGTGTGCGCCTTTCAACAGGAACAGAATAGTCTTTTCCTCTTGAGTGGATCAGGAATGTTTCTGCAATGCTGGCATGTTTCTCTGCAGCCATATTGGATTACCCATAATTCAGTTCAAATCCACTAACTGGACTAGTCATGTAACCTTTATACCTTTATTTCCTTTGCTCCTTGCTCCCCTGTCTAATTGGTCCAGCATCTTGGTATCTGAAGTTCCTTCATATTTTCAAGTTTGCTTAGCCAGCACTGCCAACGTGGTTTTAATTCTATAGGCGGCAGTTCGTCCCATCCTATGCCCTTTTGGCACATTTCTTGTAACATTTTCTTGCCCACTAGCAGGAAAGGAGCTAGAAAACCTAGCGGGTCAAATACTGAGGCAACTGTGGAGAGAATTCCTCGCCGTGTTGCAGACTTTTCATCCAGATTGACCTCAAAGGAGAACGTGTCACTGTTCACGCACCATTTTACTCCCAACACAGTCTGAACTGGAAGTTCATCATGGCTGAGATCCACATCATGGACTCCACTAGCACATTCACTGTCAGGAATGGACTCAAAAATGTCTCTCTTATTTGAAATAAACTTGTGTAGGTGTAGTCTCACTTTACCAAACATTTTGTACTTCTCTGACCAGTTTGATGGCAGTATCCAGAGAATGTACACTGATCAGGAGAGAGTTTAATGATCCACCTTATGTCAAAAGTGATTGATGACTTAGGACCCTATGACCTCGATAATCTTATGACCCCCGCTCCCCCCTTCCGGTTTCATCCCCCACAAATGAATTATGACCTATATGACCTTTTTGACCTCCCTCCCCCTTTTGACCCATCCCCATCCTTCTGGACCCCCCCCCCCCCCCCCCCCCCCACTCATAAGTCTATGACTTCTTGCATCTGAGTGTGACAACTATTTGATTCTAACCCTCATTTCCCTCAAATTAGGCTTTGATATGCATGTAAACTATTCTGTAAATTTTTTCCATTCACAAATCTTATTTTATTTTAAATACAGATATCTTTTTATAAGGTATTTTTTTTACTTTTCTAAATGAATTTAGTTTCATCACTAGAGCTTTAAAATATGTTAAGACCATTCTTTAATTCACCATTGAAGCCTGTGCATCACATTTATGCTCACAAAATGTGTTACTCACAAACACAACCTGAATTGCTAGTAAGTTTCCTTTCTTAAATTAAGCTTTAAATGAGTTTATAGAATATATATTATAACTTTTCTATCCACAAAACCTGCTTCAATTTAAATACAGGTATCCTTTCACCAATCTTCTTTGTATTTTTCTAAATGAATTTACTGTCACCATTCAATCTATCCTTTGACCTGCCCCCAGAAACCTTCCAAAATACCTCATGCACCAAGAAAAAGTCTGAAACAGTCACGCTTCCACCCTCAACTCAGAAGAAGTATGCCAATTTTATGACAATTTTGCAGCTTCACTATCAACCGATCTTAAAAACTTTGCCTGCACACACACACACACACACCACGCATGCACTTTGTTGACCCCTTACTTCTGCTCCTTCGCAGATTCCTGGTGGTGCTCAGAAAAAAAAAATGCTCCTTAGTGTTTGGTGCACAAACCCTTTCCTGGGTAATAAAAGACAGATATCCCTTTAATCAGCATTTTCTAAATTTTTTACAGTCATCAATGAAGCTACAGATTGTTTTTTCCTAAACAAATGTATTCTCACCTCACCAGCCCTTGACTCAGAGAAATTATGCAGATTTTTTTAAAGGGTTTCCTAGCTTCACCATCAACCAATCTCTCTTTCCCAGCAGGATGAAGAGGGAAAATTTGGTTGATTGTTTCTATCCACTCACCCCTCTTACTGAAGACATTAGAGTGAATAGAGAAGTCATCTCACCCTGATGCCAAAAGGGTGGAGACTCAAGCATCTTTTTTGCTTTGAATTTAGGTGACAGACATCGTTCTATACCCAAAGCTGAGCAGTTGTAGTTGAAGCTCTCATTCTTGCAGGTGTTTACAGCCTAGCAAAGGTTTATGTTGTCCTCTCTGAATATACAAGCATGTAACATGTAGCAATTACAACTTTAGTATCTGTTGTCATCACTTTGAAGCAGAAGTTTAGGCTTCATGATAACCCTTTAAGTTATGTAAATACTCTCCTTGTCCATCTGTTTGTGGATGATCAGCCTTCCATGAGTTGCAGCAGCCTCCTTTGCAGAAGACCGTCTGAGGAGTAGAACTTAGACTTTTGAATATTTTCCACCCAGTCATCTCTACCCTACTGTATCTCCTTTCAGACTTGTTGGAGTGTGAGTTCCTGTCTCTAAAAAATGCAGGCAGCACCCGGTGCTAGTTGTTACTTTATTGCATTTTTTAAAACAAATCTGCAGTTTACAACCCTCATTTTACACTAAGGTAATCTGCCTAAAACAAACAAATGTTCTGGTATTAGTATCACACTTGGAGGTCACAAGTCTGGACGGCTCTCATGCAGCTCGGAGCCCCCCTGGGCTCCAGGCGCTATTTCCTA